GCATTGGGGTGGGGGGGGGAATGTTTTATGGGTAGAGTAGATTATTTTTCCTGTAATACTTCATTATAGTTTTTTAAGACAAAGGTAATTGAAAGGGGCCCTTCGCAGAGTTACAACCAAGGATTACAAATAATTACTTTTTTCTTCTGCAGTTTGGCGCCCCCTCCAGCAGATGGTGCTCTAGGCGACCGCCTAGTTCGCCTATGCCAAAAGCCGTCTCTTTTCTTTGTACCTGAACTTGATCGTTTTGTGCTGACCGTGCTAGAAAATAGTTAAAAAAAACTCAACTTATGTTAATGAAAACCAGCCAGCACAGAATTGCATTGCTTGTTTTTCGCATGTTGCTTGTCTGCCCACGTGTTCAGCCCACCTTGTCATGTGTCACAGGAAAGTTCACATCACCAGATCGACGCTCGAGTGCCTAAACGGAGACTATGAGGTGGAGCCAGGGAATGGTCATGAAAGGAATGCCTTCCTCCAAAAGCATGAAATMGAAACTTTTTTTATTGTGCCATCTCACCGACGGAAGGTATCTTTTGCTAGCCAATCCTACTTTAAGACTAGATTTACAGTTTTTAATGTATAGAGCTTATAATRCGCACACTAGTTTAGCATCTGCAGTATGCTATTAATGGACCCTTAGGCATAGTTTGAAAATTAGTTATTATTTCTGCCAAGATTGACAAAAGTTGATAATAGAGGAACTCCAGCATCCAAAACCACATGACACACACACATATTTAGTCTTTTTTTTATTCTGACCTGTAATAAATGTGGATTTTGTTCTAAAGAACAAACTTTAAATCCACATTTACTGAGCTTAAATTCGAACAGTTCGAAGCAGGCAGTTCGTTCTCATTTCTGTACGCCCCCCGGGGGTCACTTCTCTTCCCCTTACCTCTGGCTCGTTATTCCCGGCAGCCGGTTTAACGTTTCGCATGATAAGATTTGCACAGAGGTTCGTTGGTTTCATGTGTGAACCTCCAAGATCCCGCTTATTTTTCTTTGCAATGTGAAAGATTGGAGCTAATCCTCTTAATAGTTCAGCTTCATCAAAAATATGCCCTCACAGCTGCTGCTCCTGCAGGGACGTACCTCAAGCACAGCAGATAGATTCTGTTACAACTGACACACTCAAAGCCTTTAACGTACACTTAATCTTTATTACTTTTCTGAATCATCTTTAGGGTCCTAAAGTGATATATGTGGTATCAGGGAATACTCCTTTCAAGCACTTTTCTACTTAATTTCTTGAGCCTAATAATATTTGCATGTGTGTGTGCGCATGTGCACGCTGTCCAAATTTTGTGCATGAGTTACAAAGTTTTATTTCTGTACAAAGCATATATTTTACTGTGTGGTGCACTTATTCCTCGTTCCCATTTCTTATCTGGTGACAGATATTCCCCGGATTGATTCTTTCGGATATAAAGCCTGCCAAAAAAATGAAGTTCAAAACTGTGTGCTACTTACTGGTGCAGCTCATGCACTGCAGGAAGATGTTCAAGGCTGAGATTCCCTTCTCCAATGTCATGAACTGCGAGGACGGTGACAAGGTATCGAGTCTTGTGTGTGTGTGCGTTGAAGGTTTTGTGTTTGTTCGTGCTGTGATTTCGCTAATAAGACACACCGGCTAGAATTTCCTGGAAAATCCATTGTGTCTTGTATGATTTATTGTTTGCTTCCACCGTTGGTCTCGCTGCCAGAGACTAACACAACATTTACCCCAACAAAACCCTGCGCTGCCAGTGGAACTGGCAATCTGCCCAAATCGTAAGAAGCTTATTGACCTTGTGTGTCTGTAAGAAAATAAAAAACTGTACACTTCAATGTCATTTGAACACAGTGTTGTAGTCATGCTCAGTAGATCTTTAGCTCACACTACATAACAGTGTGTCTCTTTTCAGGGGAAAAAAGGGTGAATGGTTTTATGAAGTATCCACTAAGTGGTGACTTCTGAGTCAAATTAAACACATTTGTGCAGAGTGAAGTGACACATTCATTCAAAGCACAAAAGCCTTTTGCAGGACAAGGGGAAGTACTATGTGAATGCAGTTTTGCTGCTTTTGCTAAAGACATGGCTGCACCACTGAGCTCCATATGAAAATGCAAAATCAGCAGCAGCATCTTCAGGCCACTTTGTTACAACCCTATAATTGACCCTAAGCAACTAAACTGTGGCAGACAAAAATAGAAACATGGGAAAAGGGGAGTCTCAACACATAACTGATATCGTCAGTTCCGTTGTTGCTAAGATACAGACACAACACCCCAATGCATTTGTGGCAATATCTGGTGATTTTAATCATGCCTCACTCTCTGCTACACTGCCAACATTTCAACAGTTTGTCAGCTGCTCTACCAGAGAAAACAAGACATTGCATTTGTTTTACCCAAATGTTAAGGATTCTTATATAGCCAATGCAAGACCTCCTCTGGGTAATTCAGATCACAACCTTGTTCATCTCTGCTCAGAATATAAACCACTTGTTCAGAAACAACCTGTAACCACAAGGACTGTGAGAAAGTGGTCACAGGAAGCTGAAGAAGCCTTACAGGCATGTTTTCAAGCCACAGATTGGATTGTTCTTTGCCAGCCACATGAAGATGACATAAATGCCATGACTGAGTGTGTGACTGACTATATAAACTTCTGTGTGGACAACACCATCCCCAGCAGAACAGTGAGATGCTTCCCTAATAACAAACCCTGGATCACCAGTGAGCTAAAGGAACTTTTAAACAAGAAAAACAGCCTTTAGGGATCGAGACAGGGAGTTATTGAGGAGTATACAGAAGCAGCTCAAAGTCAAGATCAGAGACAGCAAGGAGGTTTATAGAAGGAACCTGGAGAGTAAACTGAAAAGGAACAATATCAGAGCTGCGTGGTCAGGGATGAAGAAGATCACAGGTTTCAAGCAAAAGGAGAATCGGATGGATGGAAGTCTGGACAGAGCAAATGAAATGAACACATTCTTCAACAGGTTCAGCTCAGGAACAAGCTCATCTTCCTCCTCCTCCTGCTCTCAGCCAAACAGACATCTCACCCTCCTTTGACCCACAGCTTTCCTGTCAAACCTCAGATGTTTTATCTTCAACCTCAGTCATGGACTTTTCTTCTACATCCACAAGTTTGYCTTCAACTAAATCAGGAGATGCTGCTGCTCCCTTTCCTTCCCACTGTCACTTTTCTGTATCTAGAAGTCAGGTGAAGAGGCAGCTAGAGAGACTGAACCAGAACAAGGCTGCTGGTCCAGATGGTGTTAGCCCCAGAGTCCTGAAGGCCTGTGCAGACCAGCTCTGTGGGATTCTGCAACACCTCTTCAACCTTAGCTTGACCCAGGAGAAGG